CTACTAACTGCAAAGTCAGTGGTTCAAACCCACCAGTCACTCCTCAAGACTAACAGTAACATACGCTTTAGACGAGATTGCAAAGTTTTCTTTATGACAGGAGATATGTAAATGAGACCTCAACGTCTGTCATATTTGAGAGAGAAAGCAGTTTTTCATGCTTGGATATTCTGTATGTGACTTGTAGGAGCAGGAGGTCAAAGCCCTACCCCACCTGTGCTTTCTGTAAACACTTGAGTTCCCTGATTCCAGAGCAGGATGAAGGGGCCACAGGGCTAGAAGAGGCCCCGGTGACATCATTAGACAACATAACTCTGCCTTTAAGGTCTTTGGCTACCATTTGACAATAGGAATCACATTCCTGGGCCAGGAGCAAGTTAATTATTTTTGATAAGAATCAGTCTTCCATAGAAAGTCTTTGTTCCTCTTCATTTTCACATCATTAATTTTAAATACCAAATTTACATAAGAATTCTTTTCTCAGACCTCTTATTTTGTTTGTTTCATCTACTTCTACAACACATCAATCCTTTTCTGTTCTTTGTTTTACATTTAAAATAACTATTTATTAAATACCCCTGCTTTTAGTCATCATTTGTTTAAAGCTATCCTCATTTTCCAATAGCTTCTAATACATTTTGGTACTTTCTAGGTCTCACTTCAGACTGTATTTATATAGATAAAATGTGCCAATGCCTGAAGCCCTAACATCCTGCAAATGGGGCACGAGGGAGGATTTTCAGTGTCTACAACACATGTGTATTAAGGTGATTATCAACAAAGCAGCTTAGTGTGGCTGTTAAAGAGACCAATCTTTAAGGCAGCCTTTAAGCCTGGCTATGAAGGAACAGGTACCTGTGACTGTGGACAAGTAACCAATGTTTTTATGCTTTATTTTCACTATCTAGAAATCAGGGGAAATAATACTACCTCGTTTGAACTGCAAGGTTGGTGGTTCAAGCTCACCAGCTTCTCCATGGAAACCCTATACAGGGTCGTTACGTGTCCGGTTTGACAGCGCTTAATAAACAACAAAATTAATTAGATTAGCCAAATACTTGGATTAACAGAACTAAAAGTACCTGTTGTTATTGTGTGCTTTCAATGGTTTCTTACTCACAGTGAGCCAGTATAGGATTTTTAAGAGCAGCTGGTGAGTTTGAACTACTGATCCTGTGGTTAGCAGTTCAGTGCTTATTCTACAGTGCCACACCAGGACTCCCACAAGAGAACCTTGTTGCTGTTGTCAAGTGCCTTCGAATTGGTTCTGAATCATAACAATCCTGTGTAGGATTTCCTAGGAAAGACTGGGGGATTTGAATCACTGACCTTGCTGTTAATAGTCCAGTGTTGATCCTACAGCACCACATGAGAACTCCACAAGAGCACCTAGAACACAGTAAAACAACAACAACAACAAAAACCACCATACCAGTTGCCATGTAGTCAGTTCTGACTCATTGGCCACCCTATGTGCTTCCGAATAGAACTGTGCTCTATAGAGTTCTTGTTGTTTTTGTTGTTAAGTGCCGTCAAGTCAGTTCTGACCCCTAGTAACCCTATGTGAGGTTTCTGAGAAGGAATGGGTGAGTTTGAACCGCCAACTTTGTAGTTCAAACCGACCTTGCAGTCCATCACATTAACCCATAGAGAGTTCTCAATAGCTGATTTTATCAGAAGTAAATCTCCAGGTCTTTCTTCTGAGGCACTTGAGAGTAGATTCAAATGTTCAACTTGTTGATTAGTTAATTGCCATCCAGTCAATTCCAACTCATAATGACCCTGTGCCCAATAGGACGAGACACTGCCTGG